AGACCAGTTGCTGAGCAGTTATAACCTACAATTTACAGGCCCTGACATTCATTCTGTGTATTACATATTTTTATGTACTGTTGCCGGTTTAGCTAATTGGTTGCATGGCATAATTATGCATTCAGCAAACAAATGCATGCCAGTTTTGCATTTGGCATGTGTATCTTTGCCACTTTTGGAACTTGCTAGTTTACCTGGGCTGTATATATATATTTTTAACTAAATAGAACATATGTTGCTATCTGCAAATTCTGCTAGATTCAGCTGAACCACACTCCTGTTTTCACTCTCAACATGTGCAATTCTCACCACTCCTGAACTCTATACGAGGCCTCTGCAGTAACTGATCGTTTTCTTGCTAGTTTTAAAAGTGGTATTAGTTTGAAGAAGTACTGTGTGTTGAGGAGTTTATGTTTTGGACCTTTTTTTCTTTTTAGTTTTGTCACCTGGTCTGAGGAAAGAAATCTCTTTTCCTAGTAAGCTTTTCACATTGCTTGTCTTGCATAATTTTTGTGACTATTTAGGACTGGTTTCATCTCCCATCAGCCTCAAGTCTGTGTTAAATTTAGGCTAAGGTTGGTATTTTCAGCACTGGATAAAATCATAGAAACATGGAATGGTTTGGGTTAGAAGGGACCTTAAAGATCATCTAGTTCCAACCCCTTCCAATGCTCAACTGTTATCAGAGAAGCAGTCTTAGGAGTATGTTGCACTGTTAATACCTTAGTTCTAGCAGGAAAAACTCCATGTAACAGCATAGGGTGGCTGATGGATGTGGGTTTGATTTGGTCGGAAAGTGACTCAAAGAGAGATGAGTTTTTTTGGATTCTGATAATCTTGAATGCTCTGAGCTCTATCCTTGGCTGCTAAGTGAGATGCTCAGTAACATCTAAGTGAGATGAGGTTCGGTTTGGAGCAGCTCCTTCCACCTCCTCACAGATGTGACTTTGCATTCCAGACATGCTGTACTTCAGATCTCACCATGACAGGCTCATCTTTCTCTGGCTCCAGTAATTCTGAGGAGCATTTGTAAGACATGATACTATAACTTTGACTTTTGCTACACTGCTAAAAAGAACCCCATCTTCCAGCTTAGGAGCTGAGGAAAATGGAAGCTGGTATAGGAGGAGGTACCTTTATTCCCCCTCCCTTCTTTTGGAAAACTTTGTTCTAACTGCTTTCTATTCTCCCTGTAGATTCTTTAAGAAGCTTCTGGATTGCTGCACCCTGTTCCCCCTTCCAAAAGGGAAGCCAGCAGCATATGTAAACTCTTTTATCAAGCCAAAACATCAGTTTTGCTTGGGTGAATGGTATTTATTTAGCCTTTCTACGCTGCTTTTCTCATCTTCCAAGAAAGTGTGTAGACGAGAGAGCTCAGGGATATTTCTGCAACGTACCAGCAAGCAATTTCAAGTATCTTTGTATAAAACAGATATGATCCAAGAGGGAAAGAAATATTCTTCTTGTAGTAATGTCACTGCTTACACTGGCCTCCACAGCATACCAGGCTGATTCACAGAATAGAAAAGAATAGTGTGGGTTGGAAGGGAGCTCCAAAGATTTAGTCTGCCTTCAACTAGATCAGGTTGCTCAGACCCCTGTCCAACCTGGCCTTGAATGTTTCCAGGGACAGGACATCCACCACCTCTCTGGGCAAACTGTGCCAGTGCCTCACCACCCTCGTTGGAAAACATTTCTTCCTTATAGCTAGTCTAGAACTTTTAGTCCAAAGCCATTAACCCTTGTCCATTTGCCCTACTAAAAAGCTTGTCCCCATCATTCTTATAAACCCCCTTTAAGTACTGAAATGCTGCAATAAGATGTCCCTGGAGCCTTCTCTTCTCCAGGCTGAACAAGCCCAACTCTCTCAGCCTGTCTTCACAGGAGAGGTGCTCCAGCCCTCTGAGCATCTTTGTTTCCCACCTGTCCATGGAAGAAGCAGTAAATAAACCATTATTCAGCTGGGAGAGGAGAATAAATGTTTCAAGAATTTAGCGCTGATAAGAATCCAGAATTTTCAACTTATTGAAATACGCAATTTCAGAATGTGCATTTATTTAACGCTGGTGTAGGACTACAACAAAACTTGCTTGAAAAGAGTTGATGACACAGTTGTTTGGTACTACGTTCAAGCTATACAGATAGGAAGGCCATTACTTTTCTATGCCTTATGAAGAGCGTGGATTTAAATATGACTGGATAAGTTAGCAGAACAAAGCCGCTGTAGAACCAGGGGAGAGGGTGCCAGGGGCTAATGGAAGGCCCAGCCCTCAGCTTCCCCGGGGAAAAAGGACTGTTGCTCTTTAGATTTACTCACATGCAGAAGGACGGATAACTCAGGCCTGTGAGGAGAATGGACAACATGAACAGCCCACTGTTGCTCCTGTCTGTGTGGGGACAGCCTCTCACCTGGGGCTGCAGTCACATCACAGCCCCTCATCATCCCCAAACCTACCCACCTCGCCTTGGCATCTTCTGTGCTCTCAGGGCTGGGGCAGGGGGAGATGGAGCCCAACATGAGGGTGCAGACAAATAAACGTGTTATCTAAATGCTGGGGAGCAATTCAGGTGTTTAACTGACCTGTTGCCCCTTTGGCTGTCTGACACCCTGATATCCTATGAGTATACATGAAATTGGCAGAACACTGGACCTGGGAGAAATGCACACCCACATGGGGTACACTAAGGCATCTGAAATTGCACCAAATACTTATTTTAATTCCGGTTGTAGTGCCTGGGACTCCCCTGGCTCCACCTATGGACAATAAACTCACATCTGGCTGCACAGAGCAGGATTCAGCTGTCTGAAGACAGGCCCTGCAGTATCACTTCGGGTGTTGTGAGAAGTCTCATCTGACCTGTAGCCACTACACCAGAACAGGGCAGGCTTGATATAAATGCCGCCCTGTACTGGATTGCTCTCTCTAGAGGTTGGACACCCCACGAGTTCCCAAACAGCACCGGGTATTCTTCTGTTGGGAGCTGAGCACTGTACAGAATAATTCAAGTGCCTAAACTGAGATGCCTTGCCCACTTTAGGTATCCCAGGTTATCTGACCTGATCCCCAAAGGCTTCCTGTGACTTATATGGCACCTCTGTGGCATAGAGGAGTTGGGAGTGGAGAAGTAAAGTTAAGCTGGAAAAACTGTGTGTATTATGGGAGAAGATGTTTTAAATTTGTCCTTTTTTTTCTCACTACCCAAGTCTATTTTAATTTGCCATAAATTAAATTATTTTCCCCTATGTCCAGTCTGTTTTGCCCGTGATGATACTTGGCAGGTGATGTCCCTGGCTTTATCTTAACCCATGAGCTTTTTCATCTTATTTCCTGCCCCTGTCCTGTTGTAGAGCATGTATGATTCAAGGCAAAGATTTATATTGTATGTTATACTTTTGCATTTAAATGGAAATAATATACTCCACTGGTGGCCAATTCATGAAACATAAGAACATGCCACAAACAATAACTAACAGTACTGGGACTCGCTTTTAAGTTGTAGAAGCCTCTTGGTTGCTGCTATTGTTCAACCTCAGCATTGCTGATGCCCTTATCACTTTAAAAAGATGTAGGCCTAGAAATAAATACATTTCATAGTTTCTCACTGTTGCTATTCTTACCTTCTTTCTCCACAGATGATATAATCATATGAGATCTAATTTAGACAGTAATCTCCAAAAGCCCTTGTCACTTTACTGTCTATTATGTGCCAGTCCTACACCTGTGGTGCTATATAAATGCTATTAATGTATCAATATGCTCATTCTTTATAAATTCTGTAGGTGGAATTCCATCTGCTTTGTATATGTCAAGTGAGATGTTGGTGTGAAAAGTCCTTGCTGTTCAGAATTTGTTACGGCTTATGAGCAGTTGGTAAATGACAGAAAAAACGATCACAAAACTGGACGTGCTTATCATTTGAACAAAGACACCCAGATGTACACTTAAGACAGTGGCTGTGACTTGTGCAGAATACCCAAGTGGTGTAATTCTCCTCTAATCTCTGAAAAGCCTTAGTACATTAACCAGTCTTTACAGCTGTTTCTGAATATTTTCAGATCAATCTATTTAAGAAAGTTTTAATACTTGGAGCACTGCCATTTCTTTCACAAGATGTATCTACTTTTGACTCTTTTGGGAGTGTGTGGTAAGAACTCTGAGCACATCCAGGCTCCCCGAAAAGCTTTCCTTTCTTCAGCCAGATAACTGGTCTCAGATGGGCAGGTCCTCAGTTCCAGAAAGATCAGTCTTGGCTTCCACGTAGCTGTGCAGGAACTCAGCAGCAGGGAGTGATGTGCAGAGCCATGGGACGCTTGTACAAAATACGATGATTCTATGAGTCTTTTGACTATTCCCTGGGCTGAAGGTTTGTCCTTTGTCATGAGATACTGATGGATTTGGCTGAATTATCAGATTGGAAAACTTGATCCTAAGAACCTTGAAATACAAAATACAAAAAGCTAGAAAATATAGGAAATAACCTTGCAACTCTTCCAGTTTCAAATTGGATGACGTCTGGAAGTGTCCCCACTGGCTAATCTGAATTGTATTCTGAGCTGCTCTAAGTATTCATCACTTGCCAAGGATTAATGTAACCATGGATCACAAAGGGGAGCAATTCAGTGCTTCCTTGGTAAAGAAAAAACAAGTTTTCCCTTCCCCCGTTTCATTTCTTGGCCGCTTCCACTGGAACAAATACTGATTGTGATTAAAACAGGAACTTTCAAACCCAGAAATAATAGAAATTAGCCTTCAAAGTAGTACTTACGCATTGCTTAGTGCACACAGTCTAGATGCACGTGTGTTACAGAAACACATACAGCTATACACAACCTGTCTTGTGGGGTGACACTAAGAAATAGAAGCATTTTATTGCGCTCAGAAAATCCTGTCATCATCCAGGGATTAAGGCTGGTTAGGCAGGACGGGAGCTGAGAATCCCAGAAGCCAGGGGCAGCCCTGGGGCTGAGGGCGGGAGGAGGAGGAGGAGGAGAGGGAGGAGGAGGAAGGCAGCTGCTTGCCTGCCCTCCTGGCAGCCTGCAAAGTTGCCGGTATGGCCAGGAGCAAGGCCACCCTCTGCAGATGGCTTGGCTGCCCTGGGCTGCTGGGCTGTTTCTTGCTGGGCTTTCTGGTAGGTGAGTACAGAGACACCGGGGCTCAGCCCCCAGCCTTTGTCCTCAACAGATACTTCTGTGCAAGCCCTGTTGTGATTAACTCCCCATCAGGGACCTTTTACTGCTTTTGAAGGACTGTTTTTCTAAGAGGTGGTTGTCTCTAGCAAATTTGGTCTTTGGGGAGGGAGAGGAATATAACGACTGTGTGCTTCAGCCCCAGACGTGCCCTGGTGAACTGACAGCGTCCCGTAACGGGCAGTCTGACGCTTAAAGAGGAGAGATTAATAGAAGAGTTTGAGACTTCTGTGCTTGCAAAACCTCCAGGATTATTTATTTTTATTTGTATTTCCTGATTTTTACTGATGATCTATTTAAATGCTCCTATACAGTTGCTTTTTTTAGAAATTAAGCACATAATGTACAGGAGGAGTTTTGACTGACAGCCAAGAGTGGAGTTGCTGAATTTTCCATCATTTACAATGAACTTCACTTGAACATTAGTTTCTTTCTGCAGTCACCTGCAGCATTTGATTTTAAGTTTAGAACTACATGTCTGCATCTGTCCTTTTACAACTTCTGCTGTAGCACAGAGTTAAGGCTAAAGCATGGGGGAAAACAAAAGTACATGAGAGCTATTAAATATAAAAAAACTTTAGTTTGATGTAGGACATTGCTGAGCTGCAAATTTCTGGTGCTTGTGCTTTTCCCATACATTTCCATGAACATCACCTTTTGGACATGCTCCAAGACAGGATACTGGGCAAGTTGGACCTTTGGCCTCAACCAGTATGCCTGTTACGGTCAAATTGTTACTACAATTGCATTTAAGTCTAAAAGGTCACACACACTGTGCATGTGACAGCATACATACTTGCCTTTATTATGACGATTTTCCCAGTTTGGGGTTTTCTAGCTATTATAGTAAAAGGATTTGGTTTTGGTTTTGTTTTTTTTTCTAAAAGACAAGTTCATATAGTTGATATACTCTCTCCTTTCAGACTTATGGCAACTGAAAAATCTTTAACTTTTTAAAACTGACTAGGGTCACAGTTAACTTTATTCCTTTAATTATTAAATAGACTACACCCTCCCCTGCCCCCCCTTCCCCAAACCTGTAACTATTATAATGCTGTCAGGGTGGCTTCAGGGTGGCTGTTGAATCCTAGATCTTCACTTTAAATGTGCTTATGCATAAATTTCTAAATATGTATAAATGAACAATGGAATTTCATCCTGAGTGTCAGGAGTTCAATCCTCCCATGCAAACTGTTGATTGAGAATTTAATCTATAGTTTATCAGGAGATTAATGTGCCTTGCAAAGGGGATTGTTTTTTAGAGATTTAGGAGTGTGCTCTTAATTATGTCATTGTTTTGAAAATTCAGTCAATAAAGTGTATTTGGCTTTTCTGTTTCACTTCTGTGACTGAAGCAGGAAACACTGACAGGGGGTGCTCTAAGCCCTTTTCATCCTTGTGGTTTTAATGAGCCTGTTCCGTCCTTTCGGTTGCACATGGACTCAAATATGTGAGGACTGGAGTTGTTGCTAAGAAGGAAGCTTTTCAAATGTGTTTCAGGATGGTTTACAAAACTGACCGAAAGAAACCCTAGCTCTTCAAATGTCTACCAAAATGTGAGACAGAATCTTGTGGCTGAAATGAAAGCAGAAAACATCAAACAATTCCTTCGGTAAGCCTTGTGTATCTTGTTTTTTGAATAATTTTACCAGTAACAAAAGCCAGACAGTGATAACATCAGGTCCAAGGAACATTCTCTGAAAGCTGTGAAGATGCTTTGCAAGTATTGGATTTTTACAGAATGTCTGGGGGACAGAGAAGGGAGAGACTCATAACCCTTCTGTTCCCCCCCCTCTATATTTGAAGTTATCTTGTGGAGTGGATGTACTCTTATGTGTACTTCCCTCAGGCTGCTTTACTGCCAGTGCTTTATTACTATTTTTTTTAATTATCATTTTCCACAATCCTGATTTAATGCAGTGTGTCTCGTTTTTCCTTGCAAGTATCTGAAACTCTAACATTGGATAACTTTGCTTTGTCTCAGACTGAGGTGATTTTACTGTATTTGGGATAAATTGATTGCTATTAATGACATTTGACTGATAGTCTGTCCAGTGGTTCCTTAAACTTTCAGTTCAAGCAGCTAATCTAAGTAGAAGATTAATGTATTTAAAAAGGTAGCATTAAAAATGCTACAAAGTTTGCATGGCACCCAGTTGCATGCATAGTTACAACTGATGATTCCTTTAGCATGGCCACACTGGATAATGTGCTGTTAATTGGGTGCTTGAGATCCCATTCTAGCCTGCCTTTTATTTCAGAAGATGAAGGGCCCTGTACATGCACAGTGTGTGTGCACAGCTGGTTAAGTTTCACATGATGTAATTGTTATTAAATATACTTTTTTGCATTCTAGTGCATCCATGCTGTTCTTTTAAAACATCAAAAATGCTAGGGATATAGAAATACCTTGTTTTGCTGTGTATTCCACTGGAAACAAAAAAAGAGATCATTATTGTGTATATTTGTATGTTCTACAGAGGAACAAACATTCACACAAAAAGTAAACAAATATAACCTCTGGTTAGCAACATGTTGGTATTCAGCATCTAAGTCAGCAGCTGCATCGTAAACATCAGAGGATTACTGGCAGATTTGATTTCTGTACATTTATTCTAAAATCAAAAGGTTTCGTTTCTAACATCAATTAGCTTTTTAAGTCTATAGTCCTTATCTTATTTTGTACTTGTTACTCTCAGCAGTTTGGAGAGTTCCTGAAAATTATGTTTGAATGAGAATCTAGGCAACATAGAGATTGATGAGAGCATAAAATAGCTCTGCAATTCTGCTAAAGATTTTGGCCATAGGGTATTAGTGGTATCTGGTTTGTCTGCTTCATTGGATGATGGGTGAAATGCTTCATACTGGGTTTTTTGCCTAAAATCAAATAAAAAGCAGGAACTGCAAAACAATTATATTAATACACTATCCAAAAAGTTTGTTAAAAGCATACAGAAAAGTTAACAGGAAAATTTTGATCCATATTCTTAGTTTTTCATACTAAAACTGTGTTTGTCAAGTGGGGAAAACAAACTATGATTCTCAGAAAATGCAGGCACTTTGGCCATCGCAATGAATAATATCTCTGGGGAGGATGAAATTGAAAAAATGAAAAAAAAAAAAGACATAATATGTTATTCAGTATATTTTTCCTTATGGCATATGTCATTTTCAAACTACAATACTTAAGGAATTAAAAGGTACTTGAAAAACTTTAGAGAATTAACATGCAAGACGAAGACAGGCAACAAGTGCTGGCAAAGGTTGCTTCCAGACATTGGTGCATACCTGCACAGTTTAAACAGAGGGAAAGACAAGAGTAGAGAGCAAGAGGTTGTGGTCTACATAGAGAATCTAGATGCCTCAGATCCAGAGGCCAGGTGGGATTCACATGAAGACCTGGATGCTATGATTGCAAGGCTGCTGTCTGTGAGAGGTTCTGGAGACGAAAGGAGGTTCCTGGTGTCTGAACAAGGCTGATGCTGCCCCCATCTCTAAGTAAGGCAAGAAGGGCAACCTGGGGGCTCTGTGAGTGGGTCAGCTTCACTGTGGTCCCTGGAAGGGCATCAAAACATCCCTCTGGAATCTATTTCCAAACACATGAAGTGCAAAGATAGTTAGGAACAGTCAGCATTTTTTTACTATGTGTTTGTATGATCACCCTAATCAGGGTGATTATCTTTTCTGAGGTGATGACTGGCTATGTGTATCAGAGGAGATGTTGCAGTGGCGTGGCGGGAACATCCTTGACTTTGGACAAGGCTTTGGACCTTGTCTCCTGCAGCATTCTCATTTGGAAGCTGAGGAAGCGCATACTGAAGAAAAAGTTGTAAATGGGTTGAAAATAGTCCGAACTGACAGGTTGCAGTGGTACTAATCATGGTATTTAGTACCATTAATTAATGGTAATTAATGGTATCTGACATCCCTGGGGCGGCCATTAACAAGTAGCCTGTTGGGAATTCAAAGCTGGTACCCAGCTGACTGATCAGTGTTCACCGTAACTCATTTGTTCAGTAGGCCAAACAAAATCTAGACAGATTTGTGTAGGGTAGCCCAGAGGGGCTGGATATTGTTTCTGACTGTTTATCACCATTATGTGTTATATCTGATCTAGATGTAAATGTTGCTAAGTCTTTTATTATTCAGGCTTCTGATTAAGGGGGAAAAAAAAAAAAACAAATCTGTGCAAATAATTTGACACAGTGATTTTCAAGTTAAAGTTCTTGGTAGCTGTGATGCCAACAGTGTACAAACCTATTATCACATGCCGCAATTATTTGGAGGGCTCCTTTCTGAATGTGTAGCTGTTGAGTATCTATTTCTGCTCCTTGCATATTGTTCATATTCTTTTTCTGAATGCCTTTGAGAGTGATTTTCATTGCTTGTGTGTAGATGTGGCTATTTCTGTTACGCAAAGAGAATGGTTCAGCTGGCTTGTCTTAAGGCCTTAGGAAAGATCCTTTTCTCTGACTACATCTTGTGCTTATGTTGTTGCAAACTCTGATAAGCAATCATTTTATAAAGCTCAGACTTTAACTATCAGACCTTGCTTTCCATGTGTGTGGCTTGAATTAAACTTTATACACACTGCTGCGAGTTCCCTATTGTGCCTCTTTGCATTTGTTGCTTACTAGAGATTTTCTGTTTTACTCTAGCTCATTTACCAAGTTGCCTCACCTCGCAGGAACTGAACAGAATCTTCTTCTTGCCAAACAAATTCAAGGCCAGTGGAAGGAATTTGGATTGGATTCAGCAGAACTTGTTCATTATGATGTTCTTCTTTCGTACCCAAATGAAAAGCAGCCAAACTACATCTCATTAATTGTTGATCATGGGAATGAGGTGATCTTCTTAATGATCAAACTGTATTTATGTAAGACTTCTTTAAAGAAACAGTTTCTTTCTCTAGTTTTCCACCCACTCATCCCAGTATGTGCTTTACAATATGATAAAAAATCCGGTGCAAAGAGAACTCATATGTAGAAATGGCTCTCCAGACTGTGCAGCAGAATGGCTGAAATCTCAGTGCCTCATACAGGAGAGAGGACGTCTGGAGAGGCTGCGAGTAACTCCATTAGACCATAAGGTGTAAGAATGTCCATACTGGTTCAGATTAAGGATACATCTAGGCCAATATCCTGTTTCCATAAACAGCCTTAAGTGGATGCACAGGGAAGTTTAAGAATAAAGAAATGTATTTAAGGCATGCAATTCTTCAGTGTCTAGCTGTTTTCACCTCAGGGGTTCTCTGAGTGGTGCAATTAGTCTCTTTAAGAATCTTCATTAGAACTCCCTGCCAAGGATCTATCATAGAATCACAGAATGGTTTGGGTTGGAAAGGACCTTAAAGGCCATCTAGTTCCAACCCCCCTGCCATGGGCAGGGACACCTTCCACTAGACCAGGTTGCTCAAAGCCCCATTCAGTTTTGAAGACATCCAGGGAGGGCACATCCAGTTAGTGACCCTCATTAGATCTCTCTTACAAGTACCTGTCCAAACTCTGACTGAACATCTCTACAATTTTTGCTTCCGCAAAATGCTGAGGTAAGGAGTGCCACACAGATACTATCTATTGTATGAAGTGCTACGTCCTTTCATTTGCTCTGAACCTGATCCTTACTGATTTCCTATGGTGTCTCCTAAGTTAGTGTTGGAAGTAATAATGAACAGTCGGGTTGTAGTCACCTTCTCCATTTTGACACACAGTAGAATAAAGAAGTAGATATAAAATCTGACAAGTAGCCTGAACAAGGAGAGGAAATGGGACAGCTAGAGAAGCACCATAGCATATAGGTAGGGATAAAGAGCCCTGGTAGAAACTAAGCAATATGTGCTCAGGGATGACATGAGCTTAGAGGTGAAAGAATGGATAAATTCTTCCAGAAACCGTAACAGTCTCTCAGCTATAATCTCATAAGGTGACAAAGAGTGGACATGAACCTTGAGGCAACATGAGTGTTACAATGGATAGTAATAAAAATCAGCATGTTTAACTGGAGTATAGCTAGCAAAGGAGGTGAAGAGAAGAGTAATAATACAGATGGGAGCAATCACAAAAAAACCCTGTGATGTCATGGATGAGCTAGGTGTCTTTTAATTGTCACCACCTCTTGGCAATTATTGGATGTCTTCAAGGCCAGGCTGGATGAGGCTTTGAGCAACCTGGTCTAGTGGAAGGTGTCCCTGCCCATGACAGGGGAGTTGGAACTAGATGGTCTTTAAGGACCTGTCGAACCCAAACGGTTCTATAATTCTATGAATTTCAGCTACTTCTTTGCTTAGATTCAGGCACTGACTGATGAGTATCTTCTGGCAAGTGATCTATCTCTGTATTCACATCTACTTTCTGTTATACAAAGATCAGCTATGTATCCTTAGCTGTTGGGGTTTATTTGTTGTTTGTTTGTTTGTGGGGTTTTTTTGGTTCTGTTTTGTCTATTTGAACTTATGTGTGCTAGAATTGCATTTTTTGCTAAGAGTTTATGGAAACTGATGTATCATTTGCAATAACCAATCTTAGTGTACAAACTTGTGCCTGGAGGTAGAGCGCTTGACCAAAGGCTTCTGTTATTTATTGATAGATTTTCAACACATCATTGTTTGAACCACCTCCACAGGGCTATGAAAATGTTACCGATATACTGCCACCTTATAATGCCTTTTCAGCACAAGGAGTGCCAGAGGTAAGGGAATGAAATTGTGTAAGAGTATTGTTAGCTGAAGTCAACACTTGCTGGGATAGATTGCTCCAACTTCTCAAAATATTTCTTGTACTATCTTTAATTAACCATTAGTGTAAGAGAACACAGGGACAGCTATGCTGCGTTATGCAAAGGTTAGAAGTCTCCTATTAGAAAAAAAAAAGCTTTATCAAAGTGCTAGAAATCTGAATCACACAATAAATGAAAAGCTTTTATCTTTATGGAAAATGCTGGATACATCTCAGGTTACTCCACATTCCTTAATCATATGGAGAAGACTTAAGTCAAAATAGCAATATATAAATCAATTTGGAAGACATTTTGGACTAAGGGAATATCTTCAAAGGCTAAAAAAGTCCCTCACTTAATCTGATAATTCTTCATGGAGAAACAAGTCAGGGGCAACATTTCATTGCATAAATGAATGAAATCACATAATAGCAAGACTTTGTGTCTATTCATATATATCACTATTTTTTTCACGGCCACAGATGTTTGTCAGTTTATCAAAGTACATAGATCTAGTTTCCAACCTTAGTTTATAGGGCTGCAATTAAGTGACGGATAGTAGAACAAGGTCAGCAGTTTGAGCCAAGGCCTCCTATAGAATATTATGGAAATCTGTTGGTTTTATGGGCACTGGTTCTCATTTGCAGAAATGCAAAAAAAACCCACCCAAAACACACCTAGATCATACATAGTGTATAAAACTGTGTATTTATGAAAACAGATCTTTTCTTTGTTGAATGACCAGTTGCCCTGAAACTGCTTTTCTTTTCTGTGAAGGCAGATCTGGTATATGTGAATTATGGCCGCACTGAAGATTTTTTTAAGCTGGAGCGTGAAATGGGAATTAACTGTACAGGAAAGATTGTCATTGCCAGATATGGGAAGATCTTCAGAGGAAACAAAGTAAGGGCTGTGGTTTATTTTTTGCTCTGTGGGTCAGACACTGCTTGTGGTAGAGCCAGTGGGAGTTACGAGGGCTGAAGTTGGAAAATGAGCAGAAGGAAGCCTGCAATGCGTCCATTGTGACTGCATTCTAAGACTAACTTCCAGAACAATAAAACCAGATGAATGTATTAATGTCCTGAGAATTAGGTGACTGAAACTCCTTAGGCAGTTCTTGTTTAAGATTAGTTTAGGGAACTGAGGCTTTTCATCCATAGAAGTGCAGTATTTTGAAGAAGTAAGTGTTTGATAAGGAATCTGAAGCACAGAGATTGAATAACTAACTCTTCTGCCTTGACAGATGCTTGACTCTGACAACATCGGTGATAGTGGGACAGTGGGGATAGCCATCAGTTTTTGTGCCTCAGTTTTATATCCTGTGCTTTATTTCATAGCCTTGAGCTATGACTGAAGGTGTGACACAAATAATGAACATACTGTGTTTCACTGTGGTTTATTTTTCTGCTGAGTCTGTGGTCATTTTCACTCTTCCACATGCACAACCTCTAGAGCTATGTCCCCGTGGAAGTAGATTGCAACATTCAGATTTACTACTGCATTAAAAAAAAAAATTCTGAAAAGCAATTGATTTTGCAGGTTAAAAATGCCATGTTAGCAGGAGCCCAAGGGATCATACTTTATTCAGACCCTGCTGACTACTGTGCCCCAGGAGTAGGTGCTTATCCAGATGGCTGGAATCTTCCAGGAGGAGGAGCCCAGCGTGGGAATGTGTTAAACCTGAATGGAGCTGGGGATCCCCTGACACCAGGTTATCCTGCAAAAGGTGAGTGAAAGATCTATACCTTGGGCCATCAAGTACTTTATAAACTGGTGCTGGAAGTTACTTAGAAATTCATCTGGTTTTCAGTACAGATGCAAAGAAAAAAGCTGCTTAAAATTCTTCTTAACAGTGGTTCATTTTCCTCTTGCAGACTAAATTCTACCTGTATGTCATTTCAACTGGTTGCTGTTGAGGCAGGCAGGGAAACTAAGCTTTGGGGAAAATCTCTTCGTATGGTCTCAGCTTTGTGACTTAGAAAAGCAGGATGTGTAGGTTTATAGACTGTGAAGAAGGAGAAAATGGCTGAGAATTTATCGCCATTTTTAAATATCTGTGTTTCTCAAGAGGACCAGTTTAAAATAGTCTACCATCAAAGAGGAGCAATGACTTTGCTTGGAGGTATGTTTCCTTGCTAATCTTAAATTCCAGGCAGAGTAACAGTTTAAAATCCTCTTTACAGGGAGTAAAATTTCTGTATTGAAAGTAACAGTAGCCTGGAATCTTTTGAAATTTGGCACCATCTGCTTGTCTTGTCCTTGTAGGCATCCTCAACTCAGCCTGAACTAAGGTGCCTCCCAGTCCTGTCTGCTGATGGGATGGTAACCCAGGGGTGCTTCTGGAAAGCTCACTGACTTGTGTGACCATTGTTGGGGGCGTAACACAACACCATGCTGAAAAAACAGGATAGATTTTGTGTGCCTAGCCCACCAGATTCAGAGAGACATTGACTGTCTTCAATATAGGTAAATGCATCTGTTGGTGTCTTCTGCAGCCTGTCAATAGGCTGCGCAGGGGCCGTCTTCACCTCACACACCAGCTTGGTTATCCCATGCTCAGGAGATGTAATAATAGGGATGGACAGCAAATCTAACTTTGCATCAAATGTGGGGACTTCTCTTACACAGGTGTGCAGATGAACTCTTACGTTTGTGGTTCTGTCATTACATATTGGTTTCCTAGAACCAATATCTAAGAAAAGGTGTAAGAATTAAAAACTTGATGCATGCTTGTGGCTGCACTGTTCAAAAGTATTTCCAGTTTGGTGAAAATTGCTAAGAACACTGTAAACTTGACATTTTGTTCTGGTTTCTCAGAGTACACTTTCAGGTATAAAGTTAATGAAGGTGTAGGGGTTCCAAAAATTCCAGTTCATCCCATTGGATATCATGATGCAGAAATATTATTACGGTGAGTATATACATGTCCATCTCACCAGAAATCAGTATTTACAAATGTTCTGCAAAAAAATTTATACGAAGATGCCAAATTCTATGCTGTTACTTGTATTTATTGATGTTTTGTAATAGTGCGTGCTTCAGAAAATGTGGAAAATTCAAAGCAATCTGTTTCTGGCATAATGTTTTTAAGAATTTTGTCAACACACCTTGTTTTAGGTGCAGTAATCATTAAGGGAATTTAAGGTTTTAGCCTACTGGTCAACTACATTTGTCTTGGTTTTCATTTAACAGTGCAATGGGAGGACCTGCAGCTCCAGACAGCAGCTGGAAGGGAAGTCTCAATGTGTCTTATAACATAGGGCCAGGATTTGCAGAGAACTCTTCTACAAGGTCTGTTTTAACACTTGCTTATTTATAATATATTGAAAAAAAAAATCTCAACAAGAAAAACTGTGAAATAATACATCCAGAGATATTCTGGAGAAATTTACTTCGTTCTGAGTGGGTAACAATTAGTGATAATTATTTGAATTCGAAAATAAATTATCAAAATTATGGTTTTGCTCAGTGTCCCCAGTGTTAATGGATAGACAGATTCAGAGGGTATATTCCAGCTTTAATCCTTACTTTAAGGTTTAGGCATTGTTTCACTGGTCCTCTTAAAACTGTCTGTAGAGCAGTAAGTAGACATTTCGTAATACTGTTGAATTAACACTAAACTTCCTTCTCACTTCAAGTTTGGTCTTTCTTTTATGTTTCTGATGACCAGCAGGACAACAGGTCAGCCAGCTTGTAGCAGTCAAGGGGGGAAGGACTGACAATACAGTTCTCTTCTACATATGTTTCTCTTGCCCATTGGAAGCCCCCCAGGCTTTCTGTGAACTTAGAGCTGTGGAGTGTGGCAGTGATTTGGGAGTCCATCAGCTGTTCCCTAAAGCTGGTAGGCCCCATGCGTGAAAGCCCTGGATGGTAACAGAAGAGCCCAAAGCTCATATATCTTACTAATTTGTTTGGGAAGAACTGGCCTTTGACCAGTTGGGTTAGCAATAGTATGTTTGCAGCTTACCTTTTTTCAGCTCTAAAGGAGAAATACAAGTGTCTGGGTCTCCAGCACTCACAGAGTCGCTTTCTAGAGACCCAGCCACATAACAATTGTATATGGTGATCTGGGATTTGACTGGCTGTCAAGGGCTGTCATAGCATTCTTCCTTGTTTAGAACTGGTAAAGCTGAAGATCACTTTCCTATCCTTTTTTCACATAAAAATACTTTTGGTTTACATGAGATAGTCTGTGAAGAGTGGTAGCGGATCACAATGAACAGTATATGAAAATGGTGAATCATTTTCACTGCTCCACCTCCTGCAAAACAAGAGTATGTCTGAGTATATGATTTCATAAAGACTTCATTGATCATTATTCTTTTCTGCTCTGCTTTAACACTAGCTGAAAATTAATAAAGTAGGAATAAATAAATAAGAAAGCATATTTGACATAATTGAATCATAGAATCATATAATGGTTTGGGTTGGAAGGGACCTTAAAGATCATCTAGTTCCAACCCCCCTGCCATGGGCAGGGACACCTTCCACTAGACCAGGTTGCTCAAAGCCACATCCAGCCTGGCCTTGAACACTTCCAGGGATGGGGCATCCACAGCTTCTCTGGTCAACCTGTTCCAGTGCCTCACCACCTTCCCCGTGAAGAACTTCTTCCTGATATCTAATCTAAACCTCCTCGCTTTCAATTTAAACCCGTTCCCCCTTGTCCTGTCACTACAGGCTCTTGTAAAAAGTCCCCTCCCAGCACCCTTGTAGCCCCTTCAGGCACTGGAAGGCTGCAATGAGGGCTCCCTGGAGCCTTCTCTTCCCAGGCTGAACCAGACCAATTCTCTCAGCCTTTCATCATAGGAGAGGTGCTCCAGCCCTCTGATCATCTTCGTGGCCTCCTCTGGACTCGTTCCAACTGGTCGATATCCTTCTGATATTGGAGGTTCCACAGCTGGATGCAGCACTCCAGGTGGGGTCTCACCAGGGCAGAGTACAGGGGCAGATGCTGTTTGGAATGTCTTGAAGAACAACAGTGAGAAAAGAAACAATGTGATTCACCCACCAAACAATTACATGGGAAATATATTTGACTGCACTTTTTAACATCTTCCTACTTGATAGGGTAACAGTTTTTGTAAATATTGGCTAATCCGACATGTAGTTCTTTCTCAGAGTAGCTCCATATCAAAAGGAACCTTTTGAGTCTGGGTAGAAAGTCACTCGCACATGGGAAGTGTGCAAGTATATGCATGCTCAAGGCACCAGTGTCAGTTACTTCTGGGCAAAGATCCAGTAGCTGTCCTGAAGTTGGTTTTAGTTTTGACAGTTATGCAGATTCGCAACTGAAAAGATAACTTCAAATGTGAAACTCTTGGGGCTTTGCCAGACACACATTGTTTAATGGCCTGTTTCTTCTCCAGGTTAAGAGGGGCAGAACACTACATTATTTTTAGCTCTCCTAATGTCTGAATGTCCAGCCTTTTTTATAACATTTCACAAGCAGATTTTACTGGGGAGGAGGGATGAAGGATTGACAAATGTTGATCACCTGTATCTGCTGTCCTAAACAGAGATTTCAATTTATTCCTGGATGAATATTTCTAATGATCTTCTCTCCAAGTTCTATCTTACTACATGGAATTGTGCTAGAATACCAGAGTCTATTCTTCATAAAAATATGTATATCCATAATTATAATTTTAATCAAAATGTTAATGTATTTTTAATTAATGTATATGCTTTTCCATTTACTCATCTAAGAAAAGATTATCCAATTGACTCCCGTAAATACTAATTCAATAAATTCTGTAAATGCTTGGAAGTTTATGGATTAGCCCAATTTGTAGGGTTGTTTCTAAGGCATCTTTCTGCCAGCAGATTAACCTGAAATAAAAAATGGGACACTGATAGAGCATGAGACAGGTTAGATCAGTGCTGAACACACAAAGCAGAAAAGAAGCACAGACTTTCTGGTTTACAAGCTATTACATTGACTTTCTGTTGCCTTCTCAGTCAGACATGGTTACTCCATACTGCTTTTCATTTCAGAAAAGTCAGAATGCACGTTCATACAAACAATAAAATAACACGAATTTACAATGTCATTGGCATCCTCAGAGGAGCTGTGGAACCAGGTGAGCATCGGGTGCTTGAGGATTTTAATTCTGTCTTTATTTTGTGTTTGGTTAAATGGTTGTCATGTTGCAAGAAACCTCCAGTTTTTTAGATAGCTAGATCATATGGAATCTTAGGTACTCTTAATAGTTGTCCTGTCCCTCTCATCACACTCTTTTTCACTGGCAGTTCCAAGAATATATTTGAATGGGAATGCTAGAATGATAGATGTAGGAGAATTTTTTTTATAATGCCTGTCATAGAATCATAAGTAGGTTTCCTCTTACATCATTCATACATTTTACCTTTACAAAAATTAACACCATGCTAAGTACAGAAAACCAGTGGTCATTTGGGACCTCAACATACTATTGTTGATACTTAATAGCAGATCGCATACATGAAAGCGTTTTACTTGGAAAAATATGTATAAAATATTTCCTGTACTTCAGTAGAGTAAGTGAATGATTGTACATTACCTTGAAAAATAAGTTTGTAGCACTGCTATTAAACTTCATATTTTGTTTGACACAAGTAGGGATGCCAGCAAAGGAAATACAGGTAACGTAAATGCATTTTTAGTTGATGATTGATATTGCGTGTTTGTTTCCAGACAGATATATTATTTTAGGAGGTCATAGAGACTCCTGGGTATTTGGTGGTATCGATCCAACTACGGGTGCAGCTGTTCTGCAAGAGGTTGTACGGAGTTTTGGTAAAATGAAGATGGAAGGTAACAGTTATTACAGACATAAAATGTTGGATATGGAAAACAACAGCTTTGAGAAACTGTGTTGAATGGTCACATAATCAGTTGTGTCGATTTAAGTTTTCCCCTCTACAGAAAATTTTATTTCTTATTATGAAAGATGCAAATTCATTGAAGAGATGGTTATAGAGTATTGCATCTTAGTTGGCTTATTTTATTTCCTCACATCTCTCATCAGTGTAATAGTACCCTCTTAGCTCTGTGGAATGAAAACATTGCATCAAGAAGAAATGCCTCTGCAATGATATGTTCCACTAAAGAGTTTAAAGAGGATTTTTTTTTTCTACTGCCAAACCAATTAACTGTTATTTTTAAAAAGTGATTTCAATTAACTGTGGTGATCTTTCACTAGACTTTCTAACTTTAAGTTGAATTTTCAAGTTTAACTATGTGATTGCAGGTTGGAGACCCAGGCGAACTATTATTTTTGCTAGCTGGGATGCAGAAGAATTTGGATTGTTGGGTTCCACAGAATGGGCTGAGGTAAATATAAATTAATGTAAAGAAAACCAAATTTGAAAGTCTGTTGCAGGCAGGTGCAATATCCAGTGGTATCTATTCCTCTACTGCAATCAATAGCTTCAAGGTAAAATCGGAGCACAAGACTCCTTCAAGGTGCTCTGAGTTGCTCATATATTTAGACAAATTACATACCTAACTTCTTACAGTGTACCTGCACTAATGCTTCTAAGATTTAAAAACCTACTTTGATTCAAAGCTAAAGTCCCTCAGTGGTCTCTGTGTAGAAATCTATCCCTTCATTTATCATCATAATAGTATTTTATACAAGGTAAATTGGTTTATTTTTTAACTTTCTATTTGAGAAATTCCTTAGTTTCTCTAAAGTCCAGGTCACATACCTGTGATCCATTAGCCCAGGAAGCCCTTTGTGTGGAAATTAACCCTCCTGGGGAAATGGAAAGGTAGGTAGTCTATGAGTGAATAGTTCCAAAATCATGTGAAACTTCCAGCATTGCAGAGTCTCAGGGAAGGATAATTGATTAATTCTGTAGTGTATCCCTGACTCCATTCCTGCCTGAGAGAAGGATGTTGGGCAATTCAGAAGTGAGGTTCTGAATGTTTTTCTCTTCATTTTCCTGTTGAGCATGCTCACTTTTTAACCCTGTAAGTGGATTTGTTCGGCCCCACTAAGAAATACAGGTCTTACAAGAGTTTTCATTGCTTTGTCTGTAAAATCCAAATTAGAAGTTGAGAAGGCAGAAAATTGTCCAATGAAACACTGAATTTCTGCTGAACAATGTCAATTTATTAGTATTGAATGGTTTAACAGAAATGTCTTGTTCTTCTGTTACAATTTTATTTATAAGGTTCTATTTAGATGCATGGATAGAGATTTCAAAATCTATAAAATGAATTATTTAAATTTTTAATTTGGTTTTACTTTATTGGCATGTATTTTAGTAAACCACAAATTTACATAGCAAAATTACATGTGTCAGAGGAGGGAACAAAGCCAGAAACATACTCCCAAACAGAAAAGGGACATCATTTTTCTACTAACAAAGCTGAGATTCCTTTGGATTAGTTCTTTCTCTCATAAACTGTTTGGCTTCCATCTGCAATAGACTGTCTGCATCTTGTTGTTGGTTTATGGGACATTAGATGAAGAAAGCATAATTTAAATTATCTTTAAAATAATTTCCTGAGACATTTTAAAGAGTTGGCATTAAAGTTTCATCTCCACTGGTAACGGAAGTATACTGTATATAAAACTTTATGATTTCTTTGTCTATGTGTCTGTGCACATATTTGGATGCTGTCAAGAAAAAGCACAATTTTTTTAACTATGAGGAATATAAAATACTGATACTTAAAAGATCAATTTATCTTGAGCAAGTCATGAATAAACAAGGGGTTCTTTTTAGGTTTGATTTGTTCACATATTGCTACTGCTGGTTTTTGTTTAACAGTTTAATAGATAGATTTATTTAATAGATAGATAGTAATCTACCATCCATTATTTCATGAAATGGCAGCTGTACTAGATTCGAAAGCCATGAGCACAATTCTCAGTTGAACCTCAATGTTTTTATATTATTGTTTTCTTGCTTTATCTTGGTTGTGTGCATTCCTCTCTTTGACACCTAAATTAGATTCAGTTTCTCTAGAGACATTCCTCACAGCTTACATTCATGTTTTCTGCAGCTGCCAGATCTGTCTTCTACTAAATCTTGAGGAAAATTAACCCATTATATTCACTGTCTGCTGTGTAACAAAAAGGCAGCAAGTGTGGCAATATCCTTTTGTTACATAGACAATTTCCATTGCTCACAAATGAAGGAATTTATGTTGCATATACAGGTTTGCTCCCTCCATTCATATTCTTTTGCAGAATTTCCTCACCTGTTTGTTTTAAAGGTATCAATTTATTTATGAAATAATCAATTAACAATCCAATTTTTAGTTCACATGACTTACAAATTATTAGTTGGGTTATAAATTGAATGAATCAAATAACAATAACTAACTTAATTAGAATATCTATCACAGACCCAAGACTTAGTAAAATACCACTTGCTGATTAGAATATCAATTTCAAACATAATTACTAGTTTTCAAATAATTAACGATGTGTGTATATATTTAGCATGAAAGAAATGCTTGGTTGACTCAAAACAGTCAAATTAATTTTAATAGGAAATGTCAGTGCTTTGACTCATCCCTTTTTGAAACGGAAGAGTGTAGAAATGAGAGCAGTACATGGTTTATCAGTGTTAAAATTAAGGTCAGTGCTGGGAGCTCACATGAATAACTTGGGATTAAAAGTGTGGAGAAATTCTGGGTCACATGTTGGATGTTCAAAAAGCACTGCAAGCACAGGGTTAAAGTAATATATTTAACCTTAATTTACCCAGTTACAATGCTGTTTAGTAATTTTCCTGTTCCATCTTGTTCCCTGTGATGCAGCAGACAGACCCTATATTTTGTGGATGTTTTCCAGATAAAGTCCCAGAAAGCAGGATTGACTTTCATGTGCCCAGATCATTGACCCATCTTCAAACATTAATGTAATCAGTAAGGTACATAGTGCTACTTATCCTGACTGGGTTCTTAAAGGCAGTACTGTAAAAACCAGTGCACTCAACATGTTCCTGACTAGATGTCACTAATTGAAAGTAATAATTACACTTTTACAACCCCAGGAAAATGCCAGAGTCCTCCAGGAACGCGCAGTTGCTTACATCAACGCAGATTCTTCTATAGAAGGTGTGTCTTTTATTTTTAACCTCACCTTACTTCACAGATGTCAGTTATAGTTCACTGCATGTTAGTTATTGCATCGAGGGTGGGCAAACATGAGGTAGATAATGTGATGCTTAGAATAATTGTAGCAAATACAGAATTAAGTGGAGAGAGAGAACAAGTTAAATTCTCATGTTGCTTTCTTGTTGCTAATAACGCCATCCATTAGCTGCAGCTCACGTGTCTGGAGTCCAGAATGCCTCCTCCAGAGGAGTTTAGTATTCTGTGCTAATCATCTGAGCACTCTGAATGTTAAATTCTCTTTTAATTTCATTAGCTTCAATTTACAATTGCAGCTTTAATATATGGGAGACTGTTCCTTGTTCTGTTTGCAGCTCCAGCTCCTTTTCCTGTGCAATTATAATGGACACTAATTTATTACAAGACAATTTGTGTGGAGACCTTAGGGTTACATTTTGTGAGGATTGGAAGTAATTTTGGTGCTTTAGGCCAGTGTGGTTTCATTTGCTTATTGCTATGAGCAGGGATGATATGCAGGGAGTAATCTATGTATTATGGCAGGGCTCTCCTAGAAAAATAAGTGCTAAAGAGTGTTTCACAAAAACCTGATCCACCGTTACCCAATTTACTGTGCCCTGCAGATTCTAAGGTGAATCTGGCATACAGGAGTGCTGCTTAGAAACTGGACTTTTAAATTTGGGCTCAAGACTGACCTAAATCACAAAATCCTTCAGAAATTATACAGAGCATTATTATAAAATGTCTTCATGTGCTGTTTTCTGTGCTGAAATAGTAGTCAGTAGGATCCTGTGAGGATGTCCCACATCTAACCTCAATTATTTAGTACATTGCTCTTCCCAAGTTAAACCCAACTTATTTCGGCTTACTGTGTGTGAGTAAAAGGGCTATCAAAAGGCATATTTAAGAACTCATTTTATTCCTGTCAGCTGAAAAATTTGCCTGTCACAAAAGGATTGGAAGGAAAGAAAAGCCAAACGCAGTTTCTAAATGCTCAGTTGGAGTTGGGGTATAGGGAGGGTTAGAGCTGTTCCTTCAATTAGGCAGCCTACATGCTGTGTAAAAAGTGGAGCAGAATTTCATGCCTAGAAGATCTCATGAATGAAAGAATAGCTTTACAACTGCTTCATACTCTCAGCATGGATTGTAACACGTATTTTTTAGTTGGTTTGCAGCCAACCTGCTGCTGCCTTAACAATTTTCTTCCAAATCTTGATTATTCAAATGTGTCTCGTGCTTTATGCGTTAATGTGAAAGTAAAACCACTGGAAAAGTGTAATAAGGAAAAGAACACCATATTCAGCATACTGTTTGAAGTATCTTGGACCTGACTGAGCCTTAAAATCCCCTGTAGAGCCATAGCATCCATGTACTCTACTGATTGTTTTGTTTATCATTATATATTCTCCACAGCACTTCTTATGCCACATTTTGGACAGCAAATTATTTCTATTTATTGTCCTTTAGCAATGAAAAGAATAATAGTGGGGTCATCCTGCTGAGCATTTTTGCGACTTTAATTTCTAGTTCTCAAATATATACTCTACTTGGAAACATGATTAACATTATCTAGTCTTTTTATGTCATCATGGGGAGGTTCTGTAACTGTCAGTCTAGTCTTCTTGTAAGTATACACTGTGCAAAGAATGACCCAAAAGTTTAAAACCATAGCGGGGAGGATCACCTCTGCCCTGATCAGACCCCACCTGCAGTTCTGCATCCAGCTCTGGGGCCCCCAACATGAGAAGGACATGGATGTGCTGGAGCAAGTCCAGAGGAGTCTCTTGCAAGTCTCTTACTCTGAAGATGAATTGTCTTAGCCTGCAAATGCATTGAAAAAGTCCTTCTTATGATAAGACAATAAGCAGCTGCATTGAAAGACTTCTTAAAACATCTTGAGTTGAATGTCTGTCCTCATGCACAGTTCCTGGATGCACTAACCTTATTTTTTACGTCCTATAGAAAGCAGGATATTACCATTGCCTTCTGTTAGACACAAACTTCAAGGAGCATAGGAGTGACAAGAGCTTGTAGCTAATAAGGGATAGTTGGGCATATTTTAGAGCTATGGGGAGGCTTAATTACATTAGTATGTGTGTATTATAACCAATGAATCATTGGCATGCAGTAGCAGTTTCTTATACAATGTGACCCAGTAGTCTATATGTGTATATATTCTGAGGCAAGATCTAAATTCTTGCCTTAGAGTCAAGAAGTTTTTCTAAGAAAAGACTGCAGGGTTTAATCCGCTAAGAACTCAATGCCACTGGCACATGAAGGGACCATGTCTTTGTTTCTTTTTCAGGTAACTACACATTAAGAGTTGACTGCACCCCTCTTCTCTACAAACTGGTGTATAATCTGACAAAAGAGGTACAGAATCACAGTATCTGTTGTTTGTGATTTTCTAAGAATGTTGCAAGTTTATTGGATAAAATCAAATTATTGAATAGTATTGGATTTATCTTATCACCGTGTTGGGAAAATCTTGATCCCACCAAAGTCAATAGCAAAACATCCCATCACTGCTACACAGTCCAGGCTCACAGTTCCTCAGAATTCTTAGAAAGGTTGAAATGTGCCAGTGACAGAAGTGGAATATTATTTGTAACAAATAGTAATAATAATAATAAAACCAAGATAATAAAACAGTTGAGCAAGACAGTTCTCTAAAGTGGTAGGTATTCAAGGAAATAAATTACAATTTAAATTTCCATTTCGTGTTCAAAAGAGAATCTATTCATCTTCACATTGGCTAGCTACCATTTTCTGTCTGTTCCCCCTGAATCTCCTTCATATCTCACTGAGCCTCTGAAATACTGTGATAAATATTGAAGGATTGAAGGGGTTTTGTAACAGGCCAGATTTATGGATTTTCATGATGACAAGTGGTCTAATCATGTCTCATTTGCTTTCACCTCTCAGGATGAATGATCATAAGGCTGAGAGATTTCAATCCATTAAAGCATGAAACTTAATTGGCCATGTGAGGAGTTCACCAGATTAGGCACCTAGCATGAGCCATTGTCACTGTCCTCAGATCTGCATTCATCTCAATTATCACAAAACATCCCTGTCTGACTTAAACAATGTCGTCTCCCTTTAAAGGCAGTGGGTAGAAATAGGTACCTTTAGGATGAGATTCATTTGACCAAACGTGGTTGTCTACTCTTGTACACACAGAACTCTCAAAGCATTTTTTCACCTGATATTAAGGGAACCCAAGTGACTTGGCCCATTGTAAAAATCGGCATGGTAATGGCATTTGGCAGCATGACTCCAGCTACTGGTCTCCCATCCCATTAGACGCACTCATCCTGAGTTATTTTCGAATGCAGTACACTTTCTTTTACCACTGGAAATGCCATGGTTTTAATCTGGGGCAGTTTATCTATGCTATTCCCACACTTTGCTTTTCTTTACTACGTTTTATTTGCTTATCAAGTCTTTCTAACTTGATCTTTCTTCCCTGCTGGGGAAGCAGCTGTGCTTGTTCAAACATTAGCAGTGACACTTTGCACAATGAAGGGCATTCTGTTCAGCCTATAAAAATTTCTGTCTCCCAAGTGCTGCAGAGCCCTGGATAAAATAACTTACTTTCTGCCTGCAGCAACCCAGGAATACATTTTCTGCAAAAGATAACAAAGTAAAAGAATGCTCCAGGCTAAAAATAGTACCTCACTCTTGATCTTAAGTCAACTATTACTGGCCTTGAGTGGAAAACTTCCATTAAAGTACCATACAAAGTACTTGAGACTGGCTTTTTTGATCATTTTCCTATTCAGTGTTATTTAAGCTTTTAGCAGTAGAAACATGATGTAAACAATAGAAAATCTGACAACTACTCCATAATTCCATGCTGTTTCCTTGCTAAAAAGCTCCTAGAAGTACATTATATACATCCATATTCTTCATAGCTCCATTTGTGAAAGGAGATTATCTTATGGTAGAGAGTTTTTAGTGAAAAGTTTTGCAATTTCTTGAGCTCCTTAAAGCCACTGTTGGAACACCTCAGACTTTTTTTTTCTTGTGAGCTTGTTATAGACAAAACCCACAACTACTTTTCTGTTGTTCCACAAAGGAGGATTCTGCAACAACATTCTCATTCTCTGCTGTTCTCTGCTTTCTGTACACAGTTGAAGAGCACTTTCTCCAGTTTTATTGTATTGTCTCTCTCCAAAGAATCTCATCTGCAATCCATTTTTTCTTCTAAATAATTTTTTTTTTGCTGTCTTAATAAATAAATTTGAGACTTTCCTTGCCACATTTTTCTAGAGCAGTGTTTTCCTATTTTTGTTACTACTAAACCCAGTTTGTCGCTCATCTTTTTGAAAAATAAAATCATGGTTCAATTCTTTTAGTGATTCACATTGTAGTTTTAATTTCTGAACCATCTTTTATTTACCAGTGTTGATGTGCCACCCGTGACCTCCAGTGATCCATAAATCACAGGCTGTGAAACCTTTCTCTAAAACACTTACACTCATCAACTTTTCTGTAAGATCATTTGTAGAGGTTGTTGGAATTTTCCCAAGGAAAAAGATGTTTTGATGGACTGTTAGAGAGTTGTCAGGGATATCAAAGGGCGTTTGCTGAAGGACTGATTCTAGCTGAGACACCTTTTTTGTTGGCATAGAAACATGTATACAGATGACTGGAGAACCCGTAGAAATTTGGCACATCTTTTACTTGGCTCACTGCTTTTGGCATCGCAGAATACAGTTCATTTAAGGGTTCAAACATCCTTATTCACCAGGTCTCTAGAAATTCCAGTGAATTTGAGTAGCAAAAGAGGGAGAGAAGCTAAAGCAATAGCTAGAATGGGGAAGCTCTGTTCTGCAGAGGGATCTGCTTAGCATTTTTTTTCCCCTTCACTTGCATTTAGGCAGCCTTTTATAAAGATAACCAAAGACTACAATCTGTATCTTTGCTAATCAGTTCTATCTGTTCCACTAATCTGAAAAAGACCCTAATTTCTATAAGGGCTAGAAGGACTAAGGCAGTGATTATATTTGTAGTTTTGCGATTTCAACTACAATGCATTTGGTTTTGGATGAGCTGGGGAAGCCTGATGTACACATCAACGCCTCGACACATTAAGTCTTTGCATATCGTGGCTGTTACTTTCTTGAATAAAAATGGTGAGAAGTCCTGTGGACCTCAGGAGTCCTAGTTAATACTTAGAAACAGCTTAAATGGGACCAAAATGTTCCCTATGTTTGGCATTAAGGTTTTGCATGAGATTGAATTTCATTCGGAAAGCCCAGTATGTGAAAGAACACTAGTGCAGATGTGGCTGATTATGTATGTCCAGAAGAAAGTTATTTCTGTTCGTATTAAAGAGTCCAACATCCAATTATCCAACTTCTATGTTTTTAGTGAGCCAATTCTCACCAAAAAAATGAAATGTCATCTTTCAAAGAGTGCTGCATTTAAGCGTGGTCCCCAGCATACTGATGGGATGTTCAGCTGTTGAAAGTATTTTTTGGCCCTGCTGTACTGTTAGGCTTTAGACAACTGGTCATCACCAGCCAGCATCTGCAATAGTCTGTTTCCAATTCCCCTGTTCTGATCATCACTTCTTGCTTTGTGTTTACACTTAAAGAACTCTGCATCTTAAGGTAGCAGTAGACTTACGCTGATTCTAGATTTGGATCTAGGTCAGGACAAATAGTATGTTTTTTTGGGCTTTCAGTGCTGTATGAAAAATCTGGCCAATGGTTTTTATATGACCAGAGCTGTCAGAATAACCTCTCTGCCAGAGCGTGGAATACTTTTACTCTCATATGTCAGAGTTCAGCTTGCTCTTATTAATGTGCCATTTTCAATTTAGCCCTAGAACTTGACCAAAGTGCTGTGAAAATGACAGCAGCCAAACAGTTGCTTCACAAAGTTGTTATTTTTCTGCTAGCTACTGACATAATCTCAGAGGTCAGAACCCTTTGGATTTTCAATTTGGAGTCTGTTTATTTTTAAGTGCAAAATTTAAGTCTCAACAACACGGTGGGACTGCGTATCTAGCCATGAATATTTATGCTTTGCATTTTAGGGGAAAAAAAACCCATCCCAATCCTCTGCAAGTCATAGCCAATCTTGTATTTAAAGGACCATGACTATTAAAGATTGTTAAAGTGTAGATGGAAGTCAGGGCCAGAGTCTTGATTTATTTTTACCTCTGCCACGGATTTTCTAAAAGCTCTGATCAACTAATTTTATACTCTTTCATAGTTTGCCAGGATGTATGATGGCTGTACTAATACTTACATTTTCCATCCTGGTTACATAGCTTTTAGATTTTTTTAAGGTAAGGGTGGGACCTATAGTTTTACATAGTGTCTTACACAATGATGCTCTAGTCTTGTTGAGTCTCCTGTAATATAATGACTGGGTTTGACCTTTCCTTCCACCACAATTTTTTTTGTACTCTTCCTACACAAAAAGCAGTTAAATTTCAGCCTCAGCCTGTTGGGACAATATTGCTGTTGTGCGGGGCAAACCTCCACAGGGTAGGGGCTGTCATCTCCTCTTGCCTGCTGAAAGGAAAGCAGCTGGGTTTTGCTGGCTGCTGGAGGAGCTCCACAGCGTTATGTATGCTGTTGTGGGTACGTACGCAGTGCTATAATGGGGTGGTAAGAAGGCCTAGAAATCCCCAGGATCCCCCAGAAGTGGATGAGCTCCAGCTCAGTGTCCCTGATCTTTTAACCTGCTCTTCCTCACTCTCTGTGGATGGTTCCAAGTGCCAGTGAGGTGCTTTTTGTGGCTGGGATCCATAATGTATGTCACAAATGTAAACAGTGTATGTGTACTTCCCTGCGTGCAGCAATGCTATTGACTAAGAATGATGCAGATAGCTGTAAATGTCTCCTTTGATCATGAACTGAGTTAGAGGTACTTTCAATGAGATTATGTTTTCCTCTCCAGATTTTAAGCCCTGATGAGGGTTATGAAAATAAGTCTCTTTATGAGAGTTGGCTTGAGAAAGATCCTTCAACTGAAAATAATAGCTATCCCAGGTAAGTTGTTAATCTGCTTTTTCTTTCCCAATATTTTCATCATATTATAGCATGGCTACTCTCCAGAATTTGTCAAGATGTGCTATTGATGGCCGCAATGCAAAACTACAAAAATTTTAAACTAAAATTGCCGAGGGAGGGGAACCTCAATCCATCCCACTCCTGCCAGTTTGATACTCGTTCCAGCACTAGATACCCAGAGCCTTGAGGAGGATCACAGCAGGAGGGCACCTGGAGAGCAGCACAAAAGAATTCCAGCCACTCCAGCCAGTAAATGAGCTTCATTCGGGAGCCCAACTTAAATGTCTCTATGCAAACACACAGGGCTTGAGGAATAAACAGGAGGAATTAGAGATGTACACACACTTGCAGGATTATGACCTCATTGGCATTGCGGAGATGTGGTGGGATGGCTCCTACAAATGGAGTGTCAGAATGGAAGGATAGAGGCTCTTCAGGAAGGACAAGCAGGGGAGGTGTGGAGGGGGTTTGCTCTCTATGTCAGGGATCAGCTGGAGTGTGTGGAACTCCACTTGGGGATGGATGAGGAGCTGACGGAGAGCTTATGGGTCAGGATTAAAGGGAGGGCAGGGAGAGGGGACACAGTAGTAGGGGTTTGCTACAGGCCACCTGGGCAGGACGAGCGAGTGGATGAGGCCCTCTACAGACAGATAACAACTGCCTTATGTTCACAGACCTCATAGGGGTCCTCATGATGTCTGATATCCCCCAAGGGACAACATGGCAGGGCACAAGCAAGCCAGGAGGTTCCTGGAATGTGTTGATGACAACTTCCTTATCCAAGTGATAGAACAGCCGACAAGGAGGGGTGCCATGCTGGACTTTGTTCTCACCAACAGGGAGGGGCTGGTGGGGGATGTGAAGCTCAAGGGCAGCCT